TTCATCATCCCAAACAGAAACTCTGTACCATTTGAACAACTCACCATCTATCACACTATCTTTTTACCTCTGTTCATTACACTTTTTATCAATTTGCCTGTTTTAGGTACCTCATATAAATGGAATCATACCATGTTTGTCCTTTAGTGTCTGGCTTATTTCACTTAGGCTAATGTTTTCAGGGATCATATATGTTATATCACGTATCAGAATTTCATTCCATTTTAAGGCTGAATAATATTCTGTTATATGTATATACCATATTTTGTTTATCCACTCATTTACTGATAGACATTTGGGTTGTTTCTACCTTTGGCTATTGTAGGATAATATTTTTACACTAGAGTAAAATGAGCTAAGTGAAAAACCTGAAAATAACTCTAAAAGGATTGTTAGGTTCAATGAATATAGGAATATAGAATATTTAAGTATATGGAGGAAAGTTAGCAATAGCCTAAAGTGAGGGAAATAAACTATGGTTATTTGAATTATAAATTTGTTTATACATTTTGGCTTTAAAAATAATTAAAGTAGGCCTTGCTAACTTAATATTTTATGAGTTAAAATCCAAGTATAATTGATGGTATTTCAATCCTGCTTAAAACAGTTCCATAATCTCTAAGAGCGTCTACCCACACTGGAACTCTGTGTGTAATTCTTTTGCGTTCATATAAGGCAGTGGTTCTCAACCTTGGCTGCACATTCGAATCACCTGGGAATCTTTTTAAAATCCTGATTTCTGGGCCTCATCCTCCGGAAATTCTGTTTCTTTGTTATGGGGTGGGGCCACAGCATTAGTAACAAAGAAACAGAATTTCCGGAGGATGAGGCCCAGAAATCAGGATTTTAAAAAGATTCCCAGGTGATTCTAATGTGCAGCCAAGGTTGAGAACCACTAATATAATGGTACAAGATGTCATTACCTGCTCTTGTGCAAAACCTACTCAACAAAATAGAGAGTGAATAATGCTAAGAAATGTTTAAAAATGAAAGGCCACAATCATGTCCAAAAAATCAGGAGGAACATTTAACTTAATAAATTTTAATTAAAAATTGAAATGCCGCAAGAGAGTGACAAACTTTATGTAAGGACTCTGAAATTTCTCAAAAATAAAAAAAGACAGTATGATTGAAAAAAATGCTCTTAGATCAACAATAGAAAAGTTGACTAATGTATAATCAATTTTTAAGTCATCCTTTTTTAGGAGAAAGGTAATAATCAGAATATATACTATAGCATGTCAATTGAAAATTAATCTGTAAGGCTTGCTAGAAAGAGCACCAGATCCAAATCCTAATGTCTCCTGCCTCTATCTCAGCCTTGTGGCCTTAAGTAGTCATTTAACCTTCTGTGTTTCATTATCTCCTCTGAAATATTAGATCACTGGGCCAGATGATTCAGCTCTGAAGTGCCATGATTCCAAGTAGACTGAGACGCTCAAATCGCCTGCACTAGTAAACATTCTTATGGAAATAGCACCGAAATCAATATAAATGATAACTCTAAAAGAATGTATCAACTGATGGGTATACATCTTGAGAAGAAACTCTGAAGGATAGTCCCGAGGTTATGAAAAGGATTGCGACCATTGAGGAATACCTAACTTCACACTGCTCTTGATTATGATAAGAAACATGCAGGCAGGTGCCAATTTTCTAACAAGTTATGGCCTAAAAATCACCGTTATAATTAAGATCCCAGAATGTATTTTCTCAGGCCAAAGAGTCCACAATAGAGATGAAGTCCTATATATCTGCATATATAGTTGCAGGAAAATTATTTTAATTAGTGTTATAATCAAAATAATAATAAATTAAACAATAAAAATTATCTGGAATGTCAGTACTTGAAAAAGCAAATTTAGTTGTAAGAGCTGAACTTGGGTAGAGAATACCAAAGGTCCTGCATACTTTGAAGATTGCTGGCCGAGGTCTGTAGTGGCTCACTATTATTTTCATTAGAAATCTCTAGGAAATTGGGAGAGTTGTGTTCTTCAAGATTTTTTGCTTAGTATCACAAACAGTAAGGTGGCAAAGTGGAATTTTCCTGAAGTGTTTATGTGTATGAAAGATATACTGGAGGTGGGCATGACTGGCTATCAGAGAAAGTGTGAGCATAACCCATCTCCTAACTGACAGGGTAGGGATGTGCCAGGAAAGAGCCCCAGGTAGTTCCTTTTTTGGCCCCCAGGCAACTTCGCCATGAGTCACCTGTGTTTTCATGATGGCCATACCAGGGAACAGAGAGGCTCACAAAAGGTGGGAGGAAAAGTAGCCTCGTGAGAGTCTGTAGGACCCAGCCATCTATCTGCATGGTGGTTCTTGGTAACCTGAATGCTAGTTTTCAAAGGTCTGGTATTTCAACACAGTTTCTAGGTAGTGGATTTTCAGAACCTAATCCAGTACAGATTTTCCTTTAGTCTTCTGGAAATAACTGCTATGGCTTCCACTGCCAAAGTGACCTCAAAATGAGCACCTGTAATTTCTAAAAGTATTCTTAATGTGTAGAATCCACACTCAGAGTTCTACAGAGCTTGTTTTCCCTTGCATGCCTTTTTTGCAGGTGAGCTGATATGAGAAATTCTCTGAAGAAACGAAATCATTTATAGGCCACTCATGAGGGTGGAGATAAGGGTTTAGATTGTGAGCCCTGCTATACACTAAGTAAATTGTATGAGTTATTACTGATTCTAATTTCATGAACTTCATTTTGCATCAGTCTTACAGCTGTAATAGTGCACCTATTTCTACTACCACACCTGCAGTTCACACTTAATGATCACTTACTTGCCAGCCACTGTTCTAAGCTCTTTACCTACCTATGTTATCTCATTTAAGTTTTCCTTTCTGATGTAGGCACTATTTTCCTCCCCATTTAACAGATGGGAAATACTGAAACACAGAGAGCTGCATCTAACTCTGGAACTGGACTCCTAGTCACTATTCTGTGCTGCCTCCCAAATCCAGCACAGGCTAAGGAACTTCCCTTCATGCCTTTTAAATGCAATGCAGTTGTTTCCAAAGACCAAAATGTATCTTCTCCTTCAGAAAAGGTTGTAGAATACTTTCCTAACGATCATGCTTTCTCTCTCAAAACAAAACACATAAAAACACATAGAATGTGGAAAATACCAATTTGGGGGGTGGGGAGAGTAGAAATAACATTGAGTGTTGTATTGCCATTTTTATATTCAGCTGGCTATGCTAATTCTACGTGGATCTCAGAAACCCCGAAATTACAGTCTGTTCAGACTATTTTAATCCCTAACAGCACCGCCGTGATCCTGAATATTTTTAAAATAACCTTTTTTACCTTAACCAAATATATTTTAGTTAAGTTTTAGAACTTAAAGTAAGCACATACTGTCCTTTGTTCAATGAAGGCGACTGTTTGAGACAAGCCCTCTGTGGCCAATTGTCCAGGGACAGGGCCCGACTGCATGAAACTGTCCACATCCTCTAGTCCACGGCACTTGGTAAGCAATGGCGAGAAAGTGCCATTTGGCTGGGACCTGGTCTGCAGTCTGTTCTCAGGAAACAGAAAAGGTAGCTTTAACAGGCTCAAACACATGATCTGGGCCCATTTAACATGATTATTTTTGAACCAACTATGCTAAGAGATTATATCACAGGCAAGAAAAATGAATGAGAACATTTCCGGGACTCAATATAGTTGCAAACTTCTGGGTGGACCCTTAAATATGAAAAAAAAGGGAAGTACATCATCACTATTTATACCCAAAGTAGCACAAATCAAAGTTCTACTTTCATGCTCAAAGTGCACAGTTGTTTGAAAAAGGCCCAGGACTGTATTTTACTTCCTATTTATTTAATTGCTTTGAACTAATAACTAAACAAAAATTGATTAAAGTGATGTAGTTAAAAATAGAATTTTCATAAATGCTTGAAAAGATAAAAATATCAGGATCATCAACTAGAAAAAGTAAAGAAAATTACAAGTTTAAAAACAACTTTAAAATTCTGAGTACATAACCACTGAGGGGAAAACACAAAAATATTTTCACTTGCGCAAAATTTTACCCAATTGATGCTATTCCTTCACTTTTGTTTTTTAAAACCCAAAAAGTTAATTTGTTTTTGAAAAGACAATCTATGTAAAGTATATGCTTTTTCATAGCATGAGGTTTGTATTGTTCCTTAGTATGGTTTCCATCAGTTTAGAAAAAAAATCAATTTTTGTAAGCACATAAAACTAAAAACTATCACATCAATAAAATAAAAAATGAACCACATGATCATTTCAATAAGCTCTGGGAAAAAAATCCAATACCCTTTCATGATAAAAAAAAATACTCAACAAATTAGGAATTGAAGTGAACTTCCTCGGCCTGATAAAGGACATCTACAGAAAACCCAACCTAACATCATGCTTAATAGTGGAAGACGAGATGCCTTCCATCTAAAATTAGGAACAAGATAAGGGTGCCCACTCTGGCCACTTCTATTCAGGCTCTAGCCAGAGCAATTAGGCAATCAGTCTATCAATATAAATAAAAAGATAAACAGATAAATAGATAGCATCTAGATTGGAAAGAAAGAAGTGAAACTATCTCTATGCACAGATGACATGATTTTGTATACAGAAAATTCTAAGAAATCCACTAAAGTACTATTAGAACTAATAAGTTCAGCAAGGTTGCAGGATACAAGATCAATATACAAAAGCCACTTGTATTTCTATACACTTGCAATAAACAATCCAAAAATTAAAGAAAAAACAATTCCATTTATAATAGCATCAAAAATAAAATCTTTAGGAATAAATTTAACACAAAAAGTATAAAACTTATGCTTTGAAAACTACAAAGCATTATTGAAAATAAAGAAAATCTAAGTAAATGGAAAAAACTCCCATGTTCACATATCAGAAGACAACAGTATTAAGATGGCAGTACTGTTATCTATTAAATCAATGCCATACATATCAGGACCCCCAACTATGTGATCTTGGAAAAGTTACCTTATGTTTCTACACCTAGGTTACTTAATCCTCATATGCTCCGTTTCCTCATCTGTAATATGGGAATAAGTGGACCTACTTAGTAAGATGCTGTGATAAATGGATGAGAACACTGGTCAAGCTCCTTACTGCAGTTTCCGGAACGCAGTGAGTACTCAGTAAATGTTAGCCATTGTTTCCTTGCTGACTACAATGGAATTTGAAAATGTCAATTAAGTCTACCACGTTCAGTATTATCCTAACTTTCTGCATGAGGAACATACTTTATTCTAAGAAATCCAAGTAATATAAAATCTAATCATAACTCAAATAACAGGCAGACTAATATCATTGTAAGAATTCAGCATACAGAGTTTTTCAAAGAACAAGAGAAGTTATTTTATTTCCTTAAAAATGGAAAAAGTAGTTTAAATAAAGCTGGCAGTAAAATATGGCAGAATTGCCAGAGTCTACTAGTATATAGCTTTTTAAAAAACCTTTCCTCCCAGAAATACTGATAATTGACCTAATAATCCTAAAAGTAGACTTGACTCTCTAGTTGTCTTTTCCATTAAGTTGGATGAGTAAATAATAAAAGAGCCAATTACAATTTTTATAATGATTTCCTGGTTCCAAACCCAAGTGGTATGGATAAAGGCAGCATTCCAGTCAGGATTCCACACATTTCTCCCTCTCCCTTCAGCAATGCTCAAAGAAATAACTTCTTTCGATCAGCACTTCAGTAACAGTGAGCTTTAGTCAACATATTTTGAGACCACCAGAAGTGTCATTTGATTCTATGTTCCTTGGTGGAAGTACTACATTTGTTACTGAGCATAATTTTAACCAAACTGTGAACATTTTAGACACCAAACCAACTGTTGATGTAGGAATAGGAAACTTCCTGCAGTGAAACCACGCATATGTGTAAGTTCAGCTCAATTACCTAATTCACTGGAATGCATTGAAAATGACTAAACTGCGATCTCCTTTTGAGAACATTAATTGTATATAATTTTATTTTGAGATGGCAAACTGAAACAAACATTGACCCTGAGGTGTATTTTGATACATCTAGTAACATAACAGATTCTGTTAAATTCACTTAAAGTTTCGGTGGGAAAATAAATGGCTCAGAGACTAGTCAAGTTGAAAGAGGCTTTAAATATTTAGTCAATGATATTAATAAATGTTGAAAATTATCATTTAAAGAGTGATTTTCCAGATACTATACCATTGGCTCAAAAAAGTTTCCATTGCTATCTGAAACTTTCTTCATTTCATAACTAGTTTAAAAATTCCTCATTGGCTTGATTCATATTGGCTCAAATAAATAAAAAGATGATTCTCAATTGAAAACATTTAAAGAATTTTGTAACTACATGTACAGAAACCAAGTGGCTTTAAGACATTTGGCCAAATGAGTATAAGTAATGACCTTCATTTCTGCATTCTAATTATAAAACTGGCTAAGGGAGTGTAATACAGAGGGGAAAAAAATGAATGAAGAATCACAAGGTCAACTACATTCATCTATTCAAAAGTCTTTGCCTAGAGTGTGTCTGGTATGGTGGGGAATAACCAATCATTGTGCTGCTTTGGTGAGGATTATGGTACAGAGCAGAGATTGTTCAAAACACAATCTCCTGTGGGAAATGTTACAAGGAAGGAACAGCAGGCAATGAGGGGAAAAAATAGGATAGGTGGTGAGCATGAAGGGGGAAAAGATAAAGAATTTTGACTGCACATATAATCAAGTATATTTTTAAGTGAAAAACCTTTAAAGTAAATGTATATGACAATTATAATATTTAAATGTTAAAATATTTGAAATCTGGGAATAATTATTGAAAATTGTTTCAATAATCTAACACTGAAAACACACCAAGTTTTCACAGTTATAACAGTATCTGGTATAGTTACCAAAGCATAACCAAAGATTAATTATCAAAATTTCACCATGATTTTGAAAAGCCAATTAAAAAAGAAAACTACTCTTTGGGTGAGTTTTTTTTCTTTCTTTCTTTTTTTTTTTTTTAGACAAATAATAGTGACCAGAGAGACAGGAGGGAAATTGGCATGTTTAGTGTCTTTTTTTTTTCTGGCCAGGCACCCATTCTGAACACTTTATTTTTTTTTAATTGAATTGAATTTATTGGGGTGACATTGGTTTGCAAACCATACAGGTTTCAAGTGTACAACTCAATAAAACATCCTCTGCTTACTGCATCATATGCCCATCACCCAAAGCAAAGTCTTTTTCCATTCAGATTTCCCCTTTGCCCACCTCCACCTAACCCCACCTCCCTTTCCCTCTGGTTATCACCATATTGTCTGTGTCTATGCGTTATGCATATGTGTGGGTTAGGTTTTGGAGGGGGGGGGGGTTTGCTAATCCCTTCACCTTCGTTCATCCAGTCCCCCCAACCCTTTTCCCTCTGACAGCTGTCAGTCTGGCCCATGTGTCCATGTCTCTGTTTCTATTTTATTCCTCAGTTTATTTTGCTCAGTAGACTCCACATATAAGTGAAATCATATGGTATTTGTCTTTCTCTGACTGGCTTATTTCACTTACCATAATAATCTCCAGGTCCATCCATGCTGTGGCAAAGGTTAAGATTTCCTTCTTTTGTATGGTCATGTGTAAATGTATCCCAGCTTTTTTATCCACTTATCTACTGATGAAGCACTTGAGCTATTGTAAATAGCACTGCTGTGAACATGGGAATGCATATATTCTTTTGAATTAGGGTTTCTGGATTCTTAGGATATATTCCCAGAGATGGGATTGCTGGGTCTAAAGGGGGGTGGGGGGGAAGATGTCCTAACAACCAGCTTTGACCACGAACTCTTACTTCAATGATGGAAGATTTCTGGGACAGAAAAGAGGCTAAAAATATTTTTCTTTCTTTTGCCAAGATAAAATTGATACTATGAGACATTATGGAATATTATGCCATACATATATGCCTAACATATGTCATTCAAATCTGCACACCCACCGTACAGATAAGTAGCAGTATTATCCCTAATTTACAGACAAGGAAAGTGAGACACGGAGGCATCAAGTAACTGGTCACATCTAGTACACCAGAGACTAGCATCACTCAAGTCTTACTACTAAGATGCTATGGGACTTAAAGCAAGTCACTTAATATCTCTGATTTCTATTTGATTTTCTTATCTCTAAAATGAAGGGATCGGATTAGAGGATCAGTCCTGTTAAATAGAAATAAAAGAGCTACAAATGTAATTAAAATTTTTTCACTAGCCCCAGTAGAAATGAAAAGAAAACAGCTGGAATTAATTTTAACAATATATTTGAAATGTGATTTTAACAAATAATATAAATATTAATGAAATATTTAGGTCCCTATTGCATATTTTACACTTATTGCTCATTTTAATTCAGGCTACCCATATTTTAAGTGCTCAATAGCCTGTCTACCATGTTGGACATTGAACCTTTAGAAGTCTATCTCCAATAATTATGTAAACTGTTTCAGTAATATTCGTTATTAAAGGTAAGGCACACCAGCAGAGACTAGACATAATGAAAGGCGCTGTCCACACAGTGTGGTTTGAGTGTAGCACCGTGAAGGTCCCCAGCTACAGAAGCCTGAAAATCCATCTTTGATGGCATTCCTTTGTAGAAAGCAGAAATCAACTATGTTTTTCAATAATTGAAAATATAAATCACCCTGGCTGGGCAGCTCAGTTGGTTAGAGTGTAGTCCCAATATGCCAAAGTTGCGGGTTTGATTCCCAGTCAGGGCACATGCAAGCAGCAATCAATGAATGCATAAATAAGTGGAACAACAAAAATCAATGTCTCTCTCTCTCCCTCCATCCCTTCAAAACA